AATCCATTTCCTCCAGAACCCTTTGGAGCTGTGAAGCCACCACTTTCTCAACCACCTTCCCCAAAAAGGGGAGGTGGGACCCTGGAAGAAAATTGTCCAGTATGGTAGGATCCGAGGAGGGGGTGCATCAACGCCTCCTTGAAGGCGGCCAGAAACACTCCCTCCTGCAAGGATGTAGTAACCATCGCCTGGATCCAACCACGTCACCTCCTGAGCTGCTTTCACCAGCCAGGAGAGGCATGGGTCAAGATGGCAAATAGTGGCCTTTACAGTCCCTAGGACCCTGTCCACTTCCTCAGGAACAACAGGATCAAACTGTTCCCAGATAACGGGGTAAGAACGGTCCCCAGGTATCTCCCCAGACCCTGCCCCACACTCAGAGTCTAACTTGGAATGAATCCAAGCGACTTTGTCCTGCAGATGCTCTGAAAATTCCTCCGCACGGCCCTGCAAATGAACCCTCACATCCCCCTTGCCAAGGAGGGATCTAGTGATCCTAAACAGGGCCGCCGGGCAGCATTCTGCAGACACGATAAGGGCAGAGAAGTACAGGCGCTTCGCCACCCTTATTGCCACAATGTAGGCCTTAACAGCAGCTCTAACCTGTGTTCAGTCGGATTCAGTCTTTGTTTTCCTCCAGCGGCGCTCTAGACATCTCTTAACCCTTTTCAGCACCCTCAACTCCTCCGTAAACCACGGGGACTGTCGGGGCTGATGTGGCAAAAGAGGTCACATAGGCGCGATTCTGTCCAAGGCCCCAGCCGCCTTCCTATTCCAAGCAGCAGCCAAGGCCTCCGCTGGACCGTGCAGCAGGTCCATGGGAATATCCCCCTGCTCCCTCTGAAACCCTGAGGGGTCCATCAGGCGCCAGGGGTGGACCAATTGCATGGGTCCTGCCTCCCTGCGGAGGGGGGTGGCATAGGAGAAATTCAGGGTCATCAGGACGTGATCTGACCATGACAGCGGGGAAAGCTGTAAATCTCCCCTCAGATCACTTTGTCATTGCTCCAACAAGAAAACCAAATCTGGCATGTGGCCACTGTCTCAGGTTGGATCCCGCACCATTTGCGAGAGGCCCATGGCTGCCATGGTAGCCATGAACTCCCGAGCTGCATCCGAGGACCACCCCAGGGATGGCAGGTTGAAGTCACCCAGAACCATAAGCCTGGGGAACTCCACCGCCAGCCCGCAATGGCCTCCAGCACCCCAGGCAGGGAGGCTGCCATGCAGCAGGGAGGCTGGTACAATAGCAGAATTCCCAACTGTTC